CATGGTTCGGTTTAGGATTTGATGTGTGGCGTATTAATAGAAATTCAATTTCTGTTGATATGACATGCAGATTAAAAAAATTCGCCATACATTACCGTCTCGATGATGGTGGGTGAGGTTTTCCGGGTTTTCCTCACCTGTAAGTCAAATGGCACCATCAATCATCTTTAAGTCGCCCCGGAGCGCCACGGCAAATAATAATAATAGCCGTCCCTTTCCCCGGACAAGCTCAGCTTTTGGGGTTAAAATTCACTCGTAAGGGGGTGAATTAGGGAGAGTATTATTATTATTATTATTATTATTATATGCCGGCCTTTTAATTAAAAAAGTCAAATGGCCATCAATATGATTGGAGGGTGACAGTTATTGGGCTTTTCATTCTACACAAAATGTTTGTTGGGTTTATTGTAACATTTTTGAAATATTTCCGAAACGTGTTTGTGCTGTATGAGGATGATATAAATTATATTTTCCTACGACCACTTGGGAAAGTGACACATATCACACTATATAGACCTATGGAAAGTGCCCTATATCACACGCGTATGAATAAGAATTTACTTTCCACCGAATATGCTACTTTCCGCAGCATTTATCACAAAATGTCAAACAAATCATTTATATTTTGATCTATGTAATGTCCATATTAATACACTAAAATCGATATGATTGTTAAAATTGTTGGAAATTAGATCCTAGATATTTATCTTTAACAATTATTATTAAAATAATTTTAAAATAACTAAGATATGTTTGCTCTTTATTCTGGTTAAACACATAACCGATTAGATCATTCAAAATTTACTCAAGGTCTATTAGCTCAAATGGTTAGGGCATCAAACTTATCAACTTTGCCATTTGAGAACTTGCGAGCGACCGCGTTTAAATTTTTTTTTTTTTTTTTATATTTTTTTTTGTTTCTTAATTTTTTTTTGTTTAGAAAATATGAAAATTGAATAAATACGATTATTGTTGATTATTTTTTTAAATACATTTTAATTATTATAATAATAACCCGGTTTTACATTTTTTGACGAAATTATTTTGTGTTCGTAGGAAAACTATTGTACATAACTTGTGTGAAAAGTGATTTTCCACACTCGTGGGATAGTCGCACTCGGCCTGTGCCTCGTGCGACAATATTTCCCACTCGTGTGAAAAATGTCACTTTCCACACTCGTAATGTAATATACTATTTTATTCACCTTTCTACATAAGTTTAGCTAGTTGCATGTATTTATTATTATGGTATTAACTATCACCTATTAAATTTCCTCCTGTCTTAAACATATAAAAGGTCTCGATATAATATAATGTTTGAAAATTCTGGAGTTCCTCACGACTCCAATTTAGACCCTCTACTTTTCTTAATATTTGTTAATGATTTCGCTCTACGTACTACATTAGACTGTCTCATGTACGCAGATGATCTTAATTTTTTTTATAAAATATCCACCTTAGATGAATAAACCTTTAAAATAATGCAGATCTAATTTTGGATTGGTCATTAGAAAATAAATAAATTTTTAATATTTTCAAATGCAATTAGTATTCCTAAAAATTGCATCTAGAGCATATCCATAAAACTACCAAAATCCTGACAAATTGTTAAGATTTCTGGGATTTTACAGACACATACTCAATTAAAAAAATACTTTTTTCTCTCGTATACAATATTTATACTTCAAAAAAATATCGTACAAGTCCAGGGTTTGTTTCGCATTTTTTTCAAAATAAAAACAAATTTAAATCAAGAAAACCATCCCAACACCATCGGCGTTATAACCCTAAAACTTTTTCGAATCCTCAACGTATACCACCGACGTCAAATGGAAATATGACAAAAAAAAATTAAAGGACGAAATCAGGACATTATATTTTTCAACGAGAAAATTTCCACAATCCCTGTGAGGTATTTATCTCGTAAACCGGCCTTTAGTTTTGTCTGTCAATTGCCAATCATGAAGTCAGATGAACTAAAGATGGCGATTTTTTGCTCAAACCGTCAATGTCGAAAAATCTCTATGATTTCGACTTGTACCGCTACTTTTCAAAATTTCGTCACTTTAATCAAGGGATGGGGTTATTTATAAACGTACTATATTATATTATCTCAATCCAGTTGTATGCTGTATGACCCGGCCTTGGCAATTAATAATTTTATTTATTCATCATTACATTGTTTTTTAGTTAAAATGTTAAAATCTACGTCAAATAAAAAGTTAATTGCGCTTGGAAACTTTACAGCTAATTATGAATTGACTCTGGAACCCTTTTATGTTACAATGACGTTCGATAGAAGTTTATAACATAAAAATATCTTAAATGATATAATATCCAAAACGTGTGGTTTTTTTTTTATTAAATTCTATTTATTGCTTATTAAATGTTGCATATTTCCCAATAAAACTATAATTATATAGCTATTAGTTTCACTATTAAAAATACATTGTATTATTTATTTTACAATTTTGATATAAACCTGCAATCATATGCGACATACTTTTTCCCATTTTCAAACTATTTTACTTCTATGGTCTACATCTAATCTAATCAGACAGTGAACACTTTACTGAGAGACGTATGTGTTTTCTTTTTTGTTTCAGACACGGTCGCATTAGTTACTGTTCAGTGAAGCACCATCAAATCAAAAAATTGTTGATGATTGTTTTTGTCTTTTGGTCTTTTGATCTTTTGGTCTTTTGTCTTTTGAACTTACTACGCCTACGTTTTCGTAAAATAAATAAAGGTTTTTATTTCCATAACTATCAGGTCTGTTTTTTAGTTTAGCGTCATTGATATTTCTAGTCTATTAGCGAGTAAAACATAAAAATGGTTTATTCTATTCAGGAGAGAGTAGAAATTGTTGAATGTTATTTAAAAAAAAAACGAATGTGATAACACTGCCTGTACAATTTTTAATGAGCAACACCCAAACAAACAGGTTAAACGTAAGTACGTTTTGGAACTTATTTCAAAATTTGGACAAACAGGATCTATTCAAAATAAAAAAACGGCAGATTCAAAATCCAATAAGAAACGAAGCCGTAGAGGCAGCCGTTTTAGGACAAGTGGTTGCAGATCCAACTCTAAGTAAAAGAAAGCTTGCAGAATTATCTGAAGTAAGTGACCGTACCGTCAGAAGAATTTTAAAAGCCAACAAATTCCATTCCTATAAAATTCATTTAGTTCAGGAACTTAACGAAGACGATTTTGATCGCCGCTTGCAATTTTGTGAAATCATGAGCGAGCATGCTATACAAGATCCACATTTTCTTTATAACATTTGTTTTTCAGATGAATGCAGTTTTTATGTTAACGGGACTGTCAATCGACATAATTGTCAATTCTAGTCAGATTCCAATCCAAGAGTATTTCATGAAACGCATACGAAAAGTTAAAAGTTTGGGCTGGAATATTTGGCGATCGTATTGTTGATTCATTATTTTTACCAGGTACTTTAACTGGGAATATGTATTTGGAATTACTCGAAAACACCGTTGATCCACTGTTAACAGACATAATAGAAAACGATAACCGATACCTTGAAGATCACCTAATATTTCAACAGGACGGGGCTCCTCCACATTTTGCTGCAGCGGTTCCTCAGTACTTAAATGAAAACTTTCCTAGACATTGGATTGGACGAAGAGGATTTATTGAATGGCCCCCACGATCTCCTGATCTGTCCCCCTTAGATTACTTTTTATGGGGATATCTGAAAGTAAAATATACGCCACTCAGCCAGGTTCCTTAGAAGAGTTACGTGAACGTATTATTACCGAATGTCGTCAAATAATTCCAGAAATGCTCCAAAAAGTCAGACAAAGATTTGAGAATAATTTATATTCGTATATGGACAACACTTTGCGCATTTACTTTGAAGTGATTTAGTTTTAATTATGGGAGTTGTCCTAAATTTTTCAATTCAATTTTTATGTTAACTTTTCTATTATTTTTTTATTTTTATCATGAATTGTCTATTAAATGAGTTTTACTTTCAAATGTAGTATCATTATTTAAAATACGGAAACTTTTCACGCACGATGGCGCCAAAATTAAAAGTTACATAATAAAGTGTTACACAAATTCCTTATAAAATTACCTTTTCAATGATCTGTCACACTTAGTACTTTCCCTATTTCAATTTCATTGGTAATAGTGACAGAGGGGTGGAAAGGTATGTAAGATAGTTGAGGATATAATCGAAAGATGTCCCCTTTGAAATAAAAATCGACCTCTTTTTACATTTTCTCCAAAAAAATGTGTCTTCAAGATATGCGATCTGTTTCGTTTTCGATGCCTCACCCTGTATATAACACAAATACGTCTGATTCGTTATTAAATTGGTTATATTTAAAAAATATTCTTATTTTTATCCCCCTTGTATTTTTCGATTAAATCTGTCGAACATTATAATTTATTTTTTGTTAGGTAGTTAGCAACAAATAAATACTCAATACGCCTCTGTGCAGAAACGAGCCCTTGGTAAAGAAGTATTATTTAAAACGAAGTTGTAACTAATTCGTAACACAGGCGTCAGATATCACACCAAGTATATCTAAAATTTACGATATGTTCTGCAAAGCCATTTTGCTAATAGAAAAACGAGGTGTCTGTATTTATAAAATATTCTTAAGCGTTTTTAACTTACATAGTCATCCTAAGGTTTATAGAGATGGCAACTTTGTTAACAATGAAGAATCTAAATAATAATTTACTGTCTTAAAAATGTTATTTTTCTAGATCTAGGTATTTTTTTACAATTTTCACCTACTAAAGGCTTATAGAGGTGGAAATGGGCAACCTTGTTAAAAATAGATAATCTAAATAGCAAATGTACATCTTAGGAATAAATTTTTTTTAAAATCTAGTTATTTTAATCCCTTTTTTATCATTTTCACCTACTAAATATTGTAACTCTGATACGCTACTGACAACTGCTAATTTGCCGTTTATAATTAATTATCATAATGAGTTTTACTAAAAGGCATGATTACAATAAATTTATATTTAAGAAAAGTTGATAAATTTTTATTTTCATTGAAACCACCTCAAGAATAACAACTATAATCATAAAATGAATTTCGTTTTTACTTTTTTGGTGACCTGTTCGCTCCCCTTGGGAACGCTGCTGCAAGAAGAGGGTTCAAATTTGGATTTTGTAAGAATACTTTTTGTCGATTTTTAATATTTTTTAAAATTAGTTTTTTTTTACCATAAATAGATGTTTTCCTTTTTCTATTATTTATATATGATTTAAGAATTCGATTATTCGATTATTTCTACTTTTTATTTTATTTATTCTATTTCTTATGTTTAATAATATTATAAATTTATTCATATAAAAATAAACAAAATTATTACAAATTTTAATAAGAAAAATATATTTGTGACTATTAAAATAATAAAATATTTTGAGGAAAAATCAAAGATTTATTTGTCGGATATCTTGCCTTTAATTTTTAAAAGAACAAAACTAGGATAGTTTTAAAAAATTATTTTGTCAATATAAATATTTTTTAAATATAAACCTACTAATATTTTATTTTATAATTTAGAGATTGGTTCTAATTATTATTTTTCAGTAGTATACCATACTAAAATGTATTTATATTTGAAAGAATCATTCTTCAAAAAACAAATAAATAATCATAAGGAACCAAATTTCAATAAAAGAACAATCTTTGAGATGATACATATTAAAAAAAAAATAATAATTACTCTATGAATAATAAAACAGACATAAAATATTTATCAAACGTTTATTTTAATCTTATTAACTAATTGTAATTTTTTTAATCTTTAATTGTAACGCCACCGATAATTTAAAATTTGTAAAAACTAATTTTTTCGTTTCCCTACTTTATCGTGTTAAACCAAATTTTTATTTTGAGTACACCTTCACATGATGTGAAATAGAAACAGTTTGTATTCGTCTCCATCATTTTTATAAATTATTGCCTGCACCAGAAGATGGAAAAATTGTTTTTATTCCTTTGTGCTTTTTCAAATTAAATAATCAAATGCTTATTTATTTATTTCTATATTTTACTTTATTCGTTTACAAAGTAAAGCTATAGATATAAAAAAAAAGTAAAAAAATGTTGCAGTTTGTTAATAAACTAAGGTTTACTTAAATATTTCCATTTGAATTCCTATCAATTTTATATGTAATTTTAATTGCCATTGCCATTCCTTAATAAAAACGAAGGACAAGTACATTGTACAAGATCCAGGCAGTTATTGTCATGATTTATGTCCCCAAAAAGGTTCGACTATCAATTCTTGTAAATGCCGTTTAGAGACCCTTTAATTATTTTCGAAAAATTTCGTAAATTTCGCCAACTTAAATGGGAAAAATGAGCTGCCAAACTGTTTAACATTCATGCATATGCAAATGAAATGTCAGTTTCCGTTGCCTTCTGCTTGTTAAAAGACGAAAGTATACAAGTTACTTGAAACTGCAATGTGGCAACTTATAAAGAAAGAGATTGACGGCATGGGATTTATCCTGAATTAAAAATTATTAACAAAAAATCAACTAATAAATGAAATAATAAGTACCTATCTTAATTTTATAATCTCCAGTAAAAATAAATGACCACTTGCAAATATTTCGTTTTAATTAAGATACACACTGTATGAGATAAGTAAAATATACACCCCCATCAGCATAATTTCCTCGTGGCGAAACTGATCGTTATGATTTTTAAAATGCGGATTTGGTGGAATTAGTCTGTCCTCAACAATCCATAATGGAGGTATAAATATTATAAACCGTATTAACTTTATTATGAAAGTATTTTAAGAAAATTTTTATACTTGTCTAATATTTTTCACCTGGAATATAACAAACCAAGGTACAGATCTATTCTTTGTATCGTACTTATAATAATTCCGAATAAATAACTGAGTAGATTCCTGAATTATCAGCAAAAATTATGGTAACTACTGTAAACAACGATAATTAAAGTTTTAATCAAACAACAAAAAATTGTAACAAAATATAAATATAAACTAAATGCACTTTGCGCTTTTTTCAATGTGCGCTTTTTTCCATGTGCGCTTTTATACCCGTGAGCTTTTTTCCGTGTGCGGTTTTTTCCGTGTGCGCATATTTCCTCGTGCGGTTATTTCCTGTGCGCTTAAATGTCTGTGCGCTTTTTTCTGTGCGCATATTTCCTGTGCGCTTATTTCCTTTGCGCTTTTTTCCGGTCACCATTTGTTGTGAAGTTCTCATCATCTATTGTATAGTCCAGGAGACAGTGACGATTTTCGGTATTTATTTTCCCAGTCAGCAAGCACGAATAGAGAATTGTAGGATTAGCAATTCTAAGCAAAATTCATATATATTTAGAGGGGGGATCCAATGGACTGAGGCCGAAAATGCGTCAAAACATACGAGAACACGGTCCTTTTTTTCCATTGATAAAAATAGTTTTAGTAGTAAGAGATGTACTGTAAAAAAATAGTCTGATTAATCTGTATGGATAATATATTTGACAAGTGCATAAAATATACTTTCAAACGAGTTATGTACACAATTATTTCTACGACCACAATTATTTAAAGAATGTTCCAGGTGTTTTGTATATTAAAGTGTACGCATAGGACACATAAATAAAATCTTATATCACAATGTTTCACCTAACCAGTTGGTTTATTTATAGAAATTAAACATAATAATTGAAGATATTACAGAAGAAAATAAGGAAATAAATTACATTTCCTTCTACACTTTTATATAATAATTGTTTTATTTAGAATTCACGAATCATTTATTACTCTACATTAATTATAATTATTGTTAGTTTCGTTATGTCAAATCATTTATACTAGAGGTGTGAGGAAAATACAGTGAACTGTGGAACGCCAATATCGTTGGATGCGCGTGGTAGAAATGGTCCTATAATACTGCTAAAAACATAGCTAAATTTTCATGGAAACAATGTACTTTTGACCTTTGCGATATTCCGACGCATATGCATTATTGATGTAATCTCATGATTTTACAGTAATAGTTTTTGCAATTTTAGTGTGATTTTTAGGTTATTATGGTTATTCATTTTATTTGGTTCTGATCTTTTGCGCTTTTAGAGTATTTGTCGTTTATATAGTTTTTAATTTGAATTTTAATATCGTGGTCTATTTATATTTGATTGCTGCTTTTCGACTAGTGCTTTATTCTCTTTGTGTTAAAATAAGCTTTATAACTATTAAGTACATGCTTCTAGTTGATATCTACCTAATCGTCATCGGGTGCTTGCAACAATGGGAAAAAGTGTATGGTTTTTTTGGTGTAAAGTTAGAAGCCTTCATTTTTCAGGTAAGTTATTTGTAGTTATTTTTTACTTAAAATACGTCCTGGTTCGGGGTGTGACTTTTGGGTTTTAGCTATCTGAGCCAAATTGTCGGCTAAGTGTCCTCTTTTAGGGCACCCAGAACCGAAAACTATATAGGTATATAATGTTTTTTTTTTTAATTATTTTTTAATATGTCTGTAGCTTGGATTAGGGCTTTAGGAAGAGATCCTAAGACTGAACACTGACTGCTATAAATGCCGTTTTTAGAGCACATTTCATAGTAAGTGATTTCATTCTAGCAGCAATGAGGAAACGTTTAAAAAACATGCTGTACCAGCTATTACTTTAAGACCTCGTCTCTTTAAGTTATTATTACTTCATTCTAATGCATATATTAAAATGGTTTTTAACTTATGTCCTTATGAATAAAAGATGTAGGTATTTTAGTTACAAATATATGATACTTTGTATTGACTGACTTACTGGCCACTGGCCATTCCACTTTTACTCCATTTTTTCATAAATTATCAAATTGTTTAAAAACAATTACATACCTAGCTATTTTCTGTAAATTACATTAAAATTTTAGTATAATAATAATAATAATAATAATAATAATAATAGAGTTTATTCATACATATAAAAAATTATACAACAAAATAAAAATGGAAGCTGATCAATAAACTACAAAATCCTTCAAAGTCGCAACTTGTTGCAGGTAAAAAATATAATAAAAACTATGTAATAATAATAATAATATAAAACAATGTCTCTTTACAGTGAAACATTAATTTATTAGATACAGAAAGACTAGACAGTAGAAAATATTTAAATTGGAACACAATAAAATATAATTATAAAATAAAATAAAATAAAATCCCTAAATTTCAATGAAGTTTGCAATAAACATTCTGCCTAGTTGAAGTACATATGCAATTAATTTTTTTGAAAGTCAATAGATTTGAAGAATTTGTTATGTTTTGAGGAAGTAGTTACAAAGTAGATACAAATTAAAAAGAAAAACATATCAATGACAGGACAAGATATGGACACGATGTGGACAGTAGACTAAGAAAAATCTTGACAGCCTTTGCCACGGAGTGTTAGGTAAGTGTGATCTTCACCTCTCACAAATAATGTTACTTTAGTGTTATATCCTTCTTTTACAGCTATAGAGTTTAACAGGAAATTAAATACATAATTTTGTTGTCAAAAGCCATTTTGTTGCGATTTTTTTGAAATTACAATAATATATTTTTTGTTTCAGGTCAAGAGACAATGCATTGTAGACTTTTAGTCCAATATAAGTATAGTTTCGTTGAACTAGAGTGATTCTACATTTGGGTAGTGTCATATTGTGATTTATACGAAATCTTGTGTTATACTGACGAGTTCCTAGGTTTATTTCTCTTGTTTTGATTACGTGTAGCAATGATTGTTTATAAAATAAGTTTCTGATAGACAAAATGTTACAATGTTGAAAAGGATTCTCAGTGGGGTATCGAAAATCTAATTTAAAGATTAATTTTAATATTCGTTTCTGAATTATTTCTAATGGTCTCAAGGTTGTTGCATAAGCTCCTCCCCAACCTATAATACCATAAGTTAATACAGATTGCACTAAAGCATAATAGGTTGAAATGAGTTCGGATTCGCGCATTATCTTCGATATCGTTTTGAATATATATAATAATGATCTAAGTTTTTTAACCATGTTGTTAATTTGAAAATTCCACTTCAAGCAGCCGTCGATTGTTATTCCTAAATATTTGGCACTAGATGACTTTGTTAAAGACCACGATGTATTTCGGAAGGGTAAGTCAATTACTATAGGGTTTAAGCTACTAAGATCATTCTT